GCAGAAATCACGAGGCAACGTTTTACGTGACGTTTACTTGTTACTATGAGTAATAAGACAGGAAAAGCCACGCCAAAACAAGTTTAGGAAGCCCATTAAGAATCATAATAAAAACATTTAAAATAAATACCATACACAGTTGAGGAAACGTTGGTTTAAGTACCTGATATGAAACCTTTACTCTCGGGATCCCACAGCTTCATTTTAACCCGGTCACTAGCGCGTTTTATTACAATGATCCAACGTTTGCGGCGCTCCGGATCTTGGGGAATCCTGTAGATGGCTCATTCCTTATGTCGTCCGCGTCTGTTCTGCATCCTGGGGCACAACAGGAATCTACCATATTTCCTGTCTGATTGAGTTTTCTGACAATAACAAATAGTCCAGCTGCCGGCTTCTGCCTGCCAATATGGCGCCGTTTCGATTTGAACTGTTGCATGACGGGAGAAGTGATGTCAATTCCCGGAGCTCTATTGCTAGATATGCTGAGTTTTAGGGCGAAATCCTGGGGAATTTCGTCTAGAAATGTAATTACCTAACCATGTGCGATCCCGCGGTGGCTAATCAGTTTCTGGCAGACGATCACTTTTGGGCACAACACCGGCTCGCCCACTCGCTCTCACTCCCCCGCCTGCCTCCCTCAATGTTTTGGGACATATTATTTTATCTGGACCCTGCTTCAGCTCCCCTCCACCTCAGGCCTGACCCACTCCCTCCTCAGCATCTACGGATCTCCTCTCTAAAGTAAGACTGTTTCAATTTGCATCAATTCCTCTCCCATTACCAGCTCTTCATCTCCCTGATCTTTATCTCCCGTCAGATTCTGTCCTTTAATGTCAGAGCTTCCTCGAGAGTGACTCTCCGTTCTCATCATTGTTTAATAAAAATTTTTTTTTTTCTCTTACCTTCGTCTCCGGCTCTGATTCTGCATGTGGGTTAGAAAACTAAACTCCAACATGACATAGAGCAGATTAAAAATGGTCAGAGTAGAGAAAAATTGGGTGTATTAGCCCTTTAGCCATTTCCCGAATCGGAAGCTAACTTTAGCCTCGTATGAAAACTAGTGATTGAAACCACTTACAAATTTCTGAAAATCTTCACTTTTTAATTTAAAAAAGGGTATTAATAACGTTTCAGTCAAGTCAGTATTAGAAATTGTGGTCTTTATCAAATCTAAATTATATATAAAGTTAATATTACTTTAACTGTTTAAACAAACCAGGAGACCGGAAAAATCAAATAGCTAAGTTAAAGCTAAGCTACAACTGCTGATAGCTTTATTTATGTAGCTTTTGTGTTCGCTTGTGAACTCCCTGCATTAGTTTTAAGACTGCGTGTTAATATTGATACAGTTAGCTATGAAACACGGTGCCTTTGTAATAATTCTCTGGTAAAGCGTTAAATGCTATAGTGCCTACATTTAAGAACTAATAACGGTTGCAACAATTAGTTAATTTCACCCTTACCTTTCCTCTTTGAAACCTGCCGAGTATGGTTGAAACAAAAGCGGTCGCCAAAAAAGACCAACTTCCGGCCGAGGGCTTTCGCTCGCCGATTTTCCGGTAAAAGTAATGACACGCCATCTTGTTCTCGCTAGAAAGTTCTTCCGGTGACACGCCAGCTGATGTCTGCAGCCAGGTCCTACTCGGCAGATGGACAGAGAGATAGATAGTTGGAGTTGAGAACCTGTGAAGTCAGTATGATTGTGTGATAGTGCCGATCAGCACCTGCGTCCCTGTGTCTAAACATGGAAACACTGATTTCTGAGTCATTGTCTCCGTGATCGTCTGCTGCTTCAGGTGGATTAAACTCTTCACCCAGTGGCAGGAGAACCCACAGAGAAGCTGCAACAGCCATTCAGACCAAAAGGAACATGTCAGGAGGAATACCAGGGGTGGTAATCTCAGATAAGCATCCATTTGTTTTCAGAGCTTTAGATTTTACAGCTACTGAATGCAGGTTTCCTCCCGGACGACTCTCCAATGTTCTGATGTTGTGGTTTTCTGAGGATCCAGATCTGCTGAAGTTCATTTATGGGGATCCTCCTCTTAAGATCAGCTCAGGGGCCTGACCGAAAAGAAGTAAACGGGTCTTTAAAGTTATTTTAACTTTGCCTTACACCCTTGAATCACACATATGTTACTTCCATTTAAAAGAAATGTGCGCTTCCACTATGTTTGTCACATGATTTGAGATTTTTTAGCTTGTAAATGTTTGTAATTCAAAGAAAATCAGACGTTGCATGATGTCACTGCAGAACATCTTCCCTCCCAACCAACGTACCAGATTTTTAGTGATTTTCTCCACATTTAATGCTTCTTCTGTTGTCCTGGAAGAATGATGAGAACCTCGTTAAACTCACAGCTGTTTTTCTCCCCTTCGTGTCTGGTTTGATGAGGCATATTTGGTGAGACAAGCATTTGCAGTTTGTTACGTCTTTTCACACAAAACCTAAAATAGCTATTGACGCCTGTTGAATATGAACACGGTCTTGGCATCAAAATGTGTCTTGACATCATGTGAAATCCATGGCAAAGCAGGGGACCCATGGACCAGAAGTAGAAGGGCATCAGGATCCCCATTGGAGTAACACGGAGTCTGGGTGTAAAATGTTTGGTAGAAAGTCTGAAGATATTTATCAGAAAAACTCTTCTACCTTTCATTAACAGCATATCTAGTTCTCGTTATTTACAAATAATATTTACCCCCAAATGAGGGTTAATCAGCTAATGTTGACATCGATGTTTAAAAGTTAAAGCCTGACAGATCTATTGCTGACCCGACCCCTCTCTGGAGCCATGCAGAACTAATCCTGTTTGAAGTAACAATGAAATAACAAATCCATCTCATGCTTCTACTCCTGATTCAGTCAGAACATTATGATCACGTTTTGTTGAGGAGGGACAGGTTGTCCATGAGAAGATGAGCACCCCGGTCCAAGTACCTGATGGTTTTCCACCTGATCAGTAGCTATGTCTGAGTTGATCCTCGCCACGTTGAAGGGGACCTGCTGACTGCACATCAGCGTTAGGAGACAGAGGAGGAGTTTCTGTCTGCAGAACAAGAAGCTTTAAGACCCACCTGGATTATTCAGACAGCTTCTGCTGCTCCCGTTTCCTTTTGAAGTAACTGCTTTCTGAGCTCCAATTTGAGGAAGCCTCCCTCCTCCTGCCCTCTCTGAAATCTGGAGTTAGACATGTCTGCAGCTTCTTTCTGCACTGAGATGACAGCAGCAGACGAGATGCTGTGTACAATCTGCTGCTGATTTTGATATGAACAGAGGAGTTTTTCAGAGACCGGCTGGTGCAGACATTTCTGACTGACAGAAACAAATGAGTATCATGTTCAGTCAGACCTGTCTAACAAGTCGGGATGAAAAGATTCCAGTCGCCTGCTCTCAATTTCACACTTTTACGAAGAATCAGGACAAGTCTGTCCCTGTGGCCGAGTCCAGAACAGGTCTAAAGTAGACCTGAAACATCCTGAGAGCCGAGCTGAAGAAAACACTTCAGCATTTGGGTCGGGTACCACAATATAGATGCTTTCCAGTCCTGGAGGGCTGGTATCCAGCACGTTTTAGTGGTTTCTCTGCTCCATCACACTTGATCCAGTGGTTGAATCGCCTGTGCAGCAGCTCATCAGGCTCTGCAGAAGCCTGTTAATTACCTGCTGTTTGAAATCAGGTGTGTTGGAGTTAAAATGCTGGGTACCGGCCCTCCAGAACCAGAATTGAATACCCCAGCTTTAAGTAGATCAAACAGCACGCTATGGAGTCAGCTGATCAATCAACACATCCTGACAGAACAGACCGATTTCAGGTGAACGTTCAGATAAAGTCTAGGTCACTATGATATTTAGTGCATTATCACTTTCTTGTTCATTTTCTCTTTCCTTTCCTCACAGTTTTTATCACTACTTTGACTTCTCTTGTTTTTATGTTTTAAAATTGTTTTTATTTTTGTTCTTGTGAAGCGCCTCGTGATTTTTATCTTGAGAGGTGCTTTATAAGATTCTTTCTTCTTCTAAATGACCTTAGGTCTGGTTTAATTCTGAGCTCTTCTCGAGAGAAAAACGATTTATAAGCAAAACAAATAAAAATAAAAAAGACAGCAGAAAAATAACCACAAGATCAAAATTAGACTAGTTTAAAGTGTTTAGGCTGTAACTTTATGAAATTATAAATGTGCACTAGCACCCATGAGTCCTATAAACAGCAGCATTTGATGTTTGAGCACTTGAACTTTGCTTTTGTTTCACTCTGTGTGTGGGGCCACTGAATTATGTTTGGTGCTTCCCAGGAGCATCTGTGTGGCACATTCATAGCCATATTGGCGTCTTTGTGGGGATGCTTTAGTGCCACGACCCCTTTGGAGGGCGCCCCTTAGAAGATATCTCCAGGCCTCTTTGGAGCTGAATTGGACTGGTTATGATTTGAATCTCATCTTTTCAGCCTTGGATTCATTGAATAAAAGCCCCAAGAGACTCAGACCCTGAATTTTGCTATTTGAAGTAAATAAATGTTGCTAATAAGCTTTTTATCAGAGAGCTTAGTCAATGATGACCTAATTTTTTTTAATATGTTTGTGACTCTTTTTTATTAGTTTTAAAAGTTAAAGCTAAATGTTTCACAGGTAATCATTTTAAAAGTAAATTAGATTCCTGTAGATCAAAGTGAAATGGTTCCACTTGATGTTCCAGGACCCACTTTGGGGTCCCATTTCAAACTCTGAACCACTGGTTTTAGCTTTAAGATCTTTAGCCTAAGCTGTCATTTATTTTAGAACTTGTTGGAATATTTGGGATATTTGGGAAGTGAAGATTCAGGGCAAGTCCTGTCCCACAGACAGGGATGATGTTTTCTTCACTTCTGCTGGTTGCATTTGTGGCTGGTTAAAGTGAGAGAGGCACCATGGGTGGAGACTTATTTCAACCAGACTTCCTGTTAGAAAAATTCCTGGAGGACCGGGAATGCTGCACAGAGGCTATGATTGGCAGCACCTCCACCCCCCGCGTGCACTCTCTGAGTTTCTCAGTTGGAAAAAGAGTCATTAAAACGTGTGCGCACACTCGCACGAGCACACACAAAGAGCAGACGCACCACTCAGGATAAGAGCAGACACAGAAACTGACTGCAGGAAGGAGGATATCCTGTTTACCTTGTTCATTAGAGAAAAGTGGAGGAGGACAAATTTCTGAAGGAGGCCAGCAGCTCCGAGCGCCAACGTGTCATATCAACAGGTGAGTGGTTAAGTCAGGTGGAGGTGTGGCGAGACTCTGCAGGATTCCAGTACAGTGTAGCCAGTAGCACGGTACAGACGTCGTCTTGCAGCTCTACAGCAATCAGCTGCAGCTGATTCTAAATCAATGTGGAGCCGAGTTTTATCCTGAACATAGAGATATAATTACGGTTTGGGCTAAAATATTAAGTTGTACTAAACTGCCATAATAATGATTACACATGTCTACAGCACTACTAGACACTCGTCTATACAGGTTATCAGCAAAAAAGTTCATTTAGGTGTTACTCACACTTTAAGGAAGTGACAGGTCAAATTTCACCATCAATGGAGCATGTGAGGAGGACATTACACATTTCTGATCAGACTAGAGATGAATGAGCGACGTGTGTGAGAGCTGAAATCCTAATTGAGCGGCACTTTTCACAGCCTTCACACACACGATGGACGCTTTGCCTTTCTGTGGCTCCGGTAAAACCCTCTGCACAGAGGTGTGACGTGACCAGTAACACTACTCTATCCAAAACTAATCTAGAAACACAACTCATGTTTCCACACATGAACTGTGACTTAGTTAAGCCACTGGACAGAATTTAGATGGACGTTCTGTTGGGTGCAGCATGGTGGCTCAGCCGGTAGCACTGTTACCGCACAGCAAGAAGGTGCGTCTCGTCTCTGGGTACTCCGCATGTCAGATCTAAACTGTCCCTAGGAGTGTGTGTGTGACTGTTTGTCTCTGTGATGGGCAGGCGACCTGTCCAGGGTGTTCCACGCACCTCGCCCGATGGCTGCTAGAGACATACCAGCTCCTCATGACCCTGCTGCGGTAAGGAAAATAGCTGTTATGTTGGGTTTTGACAGCTGTATCTGTAATAAGGGACAAGTCTCTCAATTTTAATTTGAACAATACACAACACGTCAACTTAAATGAGCCCAAATTCAAAGTTACAGAACAAACGGAAAGGAAAGGAATTCCAGTAAGACCTAGAACACATTTACAGGAAACCGCTGGAGTTCATGGTGCATTCACCAAAACCTGCCGGTCCTGAACAGAAAGAGCAGGAACCGGCTGAGGAGCAGTCCTCTGTGGTTAGGAGCAGCGGTTTAAGATCCTGTCTGCCAGCAGCTGAGGACTCATCACTCTGAGACAGTTTGAGGTCAGAATGTTTCCTCGTTCTGTGGGAATGGCCGAGCTACTGGAGAACAGAACAAAGTCCAGATGAATGATGGGTTCCTCTGACTACACCCAGACCTGGAGAAGGACCTGCTTCTTCACCTCTTTGAAAAAATAAAAATAAAACTGACCTCTCAGGACCTGACCTGTATAGTCTGTTGGCGCAAAGCCTTAAAGTCTTAAACATATTCATCAAATTAGAGAATCCTCTACTTGAAAATGACCAAAATACCCAGAAATCCTTGTGGATCTGCAGTTCAACCTCATTCAGAATGAGCAAATGGTGATTTAACACTATTTACAGAAAAGCTATTAAGTTAGAAAAATACAATGGTCCTTTTTTAGTACAATAATATAAAAAATAAAATTCTATTTTCACCAACCAGTCACATTTTGATTACTTTTTAAACAAATCTACAACCTTGTGATGGGAATGTTTTTTTTCAGTAGAAGATAACGAGGATGCCATGATTCATCAAAGGCTTTTATTTAATTTAAGACTGAATTGGGTCCCTTTTAGCTAAAGTAATAGGACATAAATACATTTTAGGCCATTAAATCCTTTGTGATAAGAGTAGATAAGGGTAGAAAAATGCATGGACAATAGTTTTATAATTCTATCACAACCCTTTGAATCATAACAGAATTGAATAGATGGGAATTAACATTCCCATCCCGGCTCAGTGTTGAAATTTCCTAAATGAATGTGTTGAACAAGTAAAATTGGATGTCTGATGTTTTATTCTGGGGACTTAATCATGACTAAATGTTTGTGAGGATTTTTATGCATACGTGTTGGTACCCAGTACTACTGGACCTGTGTTTCCATTTCATGGATCAGCTAAAAGAAAGCTGATGTTCCCAGAACTGTAAAAGCAGAAGATAAGTTTCTTTTTTTAAAGTTTTCTGAAAAGCGGGTTTCTTGTTTTAAAGCAGATGACATTAAAGAACTGACTGTAGTAATTATTTAGTGGCAAAAATAATTTGGATGCATATTTTTGGATTTTGGTCAAAAGATGGAGAACTGAGAAATCATGACATCAAAAGTAAAAAAGGTGGTGGATTAAGTCACTGTGGTGTAAAGATTTTACCCCCAATTCCATCTAGTTCGTTTTTGAAAGGGACAAATTATGTCATTTTTTCTTAAAGACCAAGTTCACTGTTTCAACATATTTGCTGTGGTCTCTAGTATAAATCAATGCCTTGTCAGTCAATCTCTGACTCCAGATCAGAGGGTAGAAGGATCTGGAGTCTTACTTCCTGATATTTGGACATCTTGCCTCTGATTGGCTAACAGCAATGTGGTTATCACTGACTCTGCTTGCTCTGCCATGTTGATGTTTTATCTCCACAAAGGACACCAGCCTGGAGGAGTTCTGCCATGTTGTGGAGTTGCTAATGCTAACAGATTCTACTAGCCGAGACGTGCTCTGCTCTCTCCTGGACGCTAAACCAACAACAGCTGTCCCAAATCTCCCGAAAAAGCAAAGGTGGGTGAGGCTATAAATGTAAATTTTCAATGAGATGTGCAATTGAGTGACTTTTCTAATCCAAGCATTACCCCGTCTATTATCTATTGACAGCTAATGCAGGAAACAGGCCTACAAGATAATTTTAAGGTTTAATCACGTTTGGAGTGTTTATAGAGGCAGTAGAGATTACATGGCAGCACAAAAATATGCAAAAGGTGAATATGCATCTTGTGTCTCCTTTTTAAACATTCTGATATTATTGCTTTAATTAGTGGGGACGTTTTTCTTACTTCTGTGCAGGGGCAGCGTTAGGCCCGGCTACTTGGGCTGGAGCCCCGGATGTTTTATGAAAAGCCCCGGATCTAAATCGTGGAAGTAACATGCAGTACCAAAGTCCAACAGAGAGGGAGCAGCTGGCAGTAGTTTGTATACAGCCTGCCTGAGCCTCCACCACTGAAGAAGAAGCCCTTCAGCAGCCGGCTTCTTCTGCAGTCTCTGCCTGAAACGCATGTGTGAAGATGGACATAAGGACGTTTTTTAGACCAAAAGTACAACGACAGAACCCCAGCTTTGATGAGACTGGTGTTGACTCAGGTTTGTGAGTCTTATCTGAAAATATTTGTTGTGCTGCTGGTTTGCCTAAAGTTAGCTTACTATCAGGTAAAGTTGATGGAGAAAGAAAGGGAATATTTACTATCATCTCACACTAAACACTAACAGGAACAATACTCTACCCTGAATATGCTTAATATGTAGCTTCAGATTAAAAATTATGTGGTACAAGACAACTATATATGATGTTGACTAGTGCATGTCACGTGTGTGTGCGTGTGCGTATGTGTGTGTTAAGCCCCGGATCTTCTTCAGTCCTAAATCCGCCCCTGCTTCTGTGACAAAACTTACTCTAGACTGCTGTGAATCTTGGTGTGTGTGTGTGTGTGTGTGTGTGTGTGGCTCAACAGAGAACTATTTAGTTTCAGACTGAATAAATCTGCCGTGTCGTCTGAAACCCTGTGGTGCTCCTGTAGGGCTGGTTATTTGATCCACACTCAACTCGTGTACTTGGAGAGGAGGTAGGGGAGGTTAGCTAAATAGTGTAGCACTCTCGAGCATCAGGGCAGGCTTTGTCCAAGAAGATGCTGAACTCAGCTGATGAGTTGGAGTAACCAAAAGAACACCTCTGGTAAGCTGGCTAAGAAACTTTTGCCAAAGTGGTCAGGCCCATACCTGATAACTGCTAAGCTCTCTCCAGTCGTTTATCAGATCAAGATTACCCAAACAAACAAGGAGCCCGTCTATAAGTGGGTCCACAGGGACAAAATCAAACCGCACAAGGGTTCCACTAATTTGGACAATGCTACCACCAACAACTTACCGACTTCGAAAAGGGGGTGGTTTCATACCTCGTCGGTTCCATAGTTCTCTATTTCGAGTTACACAAGTTTGTCTGTTTGTGTGTGTGCATGGTTCTTTCCTGTTTATACATGACGTGCAGACTTGGGTGATTTGAGATAGTCATGCTGTGGGTTCCTGAAGTCAGGTAATCAGTAAGTTAACAGTAATGGGTTTAATTTCACATACTGTTGTGTTATCCAAATTTGTTTATTTTTACTAATCTTAATTCCTTATGGGGTATATTTACATATAGGTTGATTACTAACCTCACTGATTTACATTTTAGTGCTCTTCGACACTCATGTCTATCTTTTTATATTATTTTACCTACAGTTGATTAAGTTTTAAAAACTTTATGATTAACTTTGTTAATTTACCAGTAATGGGCTACAACCATTTTTGCCCATCATTTTGATGACATTTTTACTTAGTGTCATGACTTCTCCTATACATATAGTATAGGGTTTTGTTAATTTGTCCTTTTACACCACTTTTCCAGTACACGTAGTGTATTGCATTCATTTCTTCACTTGAACTCTGTTCACATAATTGCTTCACATAGTACATACAGGTACACATAGTGCCAGGTTTATTTTTCTTTATTGATTTGCATCAGGCGCCATCTTGTTGCGTCTACATTGAAGTGCCCTGTGTTGTGCTTTCTCTCCTCTACTGAGTTTCGCCAATGATCCTCGATTCCTGGGTTGGCCTATGATTTGTCTTCGGATCCTACTGCTGCTTGGTGTTCCGGCTCGTTGGACCTGGATGTCCGTGGATTCCGGCTATTGCTGCTGGGATGTTTCGTTCGTTGGGACCGGATCCGCTGCCTGCTCGTCCTCTTCCTATTCTGGATTACGCTAAGTGCAATTACAAGGATCAAATTACTGTTGACTTATTCCCCTCCTGAGGATATATTCATGATTTGCTGACTTTTGATAAACCGCCTTGAAAGGATTTACCCTCTTCCGAAGGAAATTATATACTTTTGGCCTCTGCCTGGGAAATGACATCTTGCATTCTCGACGGAGACCCTCCAGGCCTCTGTTGTTCAATGCCAGGTGGTCTCTGATGGACCACCGTGCCCTTGAAAAGGGGGGATATGTAGCGTGATGAATTGTCCATCTTTGACCAAAAAAGCCCTGCTCTATTTGCTCTGCCCAAGCAAAACCATAAGTTTCTGACACATGCCTAATATACAAGATATGGGCCAAGGCCACTCATGCTCTGTGCTCTTATCTAAACTCTTGCTTCCTCGGACAGCACAAGAAAGAAGTAAGAAGTCGAAGAACTCTTTCTCTTTAAATAATAATCAAATAACTTTGTTTGTCCAAATAATCATGTGAAGCTCAATGTTCAATCAATTTGTGTAATAAGAATATTAATTACTTGATATTATAATCCTATGATAGTATTTTTAATAAGTAATATAACTTTAAATTTTAAACACTAGACTGATCACACGTAATGCTAAAGTCACATGACACATTTCCTTTTTCTGATCCAATCAGAACATTCCAGATCTGACGCGAGGTGTGGTTTTGTTGGTGCTTGTATAATCCTCTTTTGTTGTCAAATTCTGATTCGACAGTAAATCAAAACATCCAAATTATAAAACTATGCCCCACGTCATCTTAACTTGAGTTCAAAGCGTTCTAGAGAAGTTATCGGAGTGGCCAATCCGTAACTTTTCTCTTTAAGCCGAAAGAACCTAACGACATGCTGGATTAAATCTGTTGCATGTTCCACCTGCTGCAATGGTTCCTTCAGAATAAAAGCTGAACCATCACGACCCCCTCAGGGTCTCACTGATGCCAATAAACTGTTGTGACCTGGGAGTAACTCAAGACTGGATGGGTCAGCAACCGCTGCATATCTACAGGCGTCGGTTCCAAGAGGGTCCAAGCTGGATCCCGACATTCTGAATCTAAATGGGGGCTTCCGTTGGGGTACGTAGATCGACAGATGGCGTCTCAATGAGTGTTATAATCTCCAAACCAAAGCTTAGAGCGAAACACCCTTTCACTCCCACTCTGAACTAATAGTCTCTCTGGATTTGCTGGTTCTGAACATATTTCACACACACACCATCCTCAGTCTTACTCCACCTTAGTTACATCATACACATAGTGTTTAAAGTTAGTCTTGTTTAAATAGTTTAGAAATAAATCTTCTTAAACTTTAAAACTTGACTCTCTCTCTTGTCTCTGGGTTAATACGGTTATCTAATCCCCGCAATAAAAAGTTCCGATCTTCTGGTTAAGGAAATATTCAAAGATCCACCAAATTGATTTCATATTTCCTATGGAATCTCACATTTTATGGGTCATTACTTAAGATGTAACTAACGAATCGTTAAAATAGTGAAGGTTTGTTGGTTTGATTCCTTCATCAGATCATCAGAAACACATTCAGAAGAGAAATTCAGTCTCTAAGCAGCAGTTTGTTTCCCATGAAACCTTAAGGTTGGTGAGTTAAAAAGCAGACTTACGGAGGGAGTGCCACTCATCCTGCCTTATGGTCCTGGTGATGTTGTAGGACAGGTTTTTGGGGATTGCAGCAGACGAGTAGTGGTACTTGATATTGGAACATCTTGCAATTGAACCTATACAGAGAAAGCAGAAATTATCTTCTAAAACATTTGAAGTTAACGTGACATATTTACACGAGAGTCAGTCCAGGTTAGTGTTCACCATCTGTGGTCCAGTCTGCAAAACAGCTGGTTTGGTTCACACTTCTCCAGAATCAGTTAATTAGAATAGGCTGTACAGAAACATGTCGTCATCTACTCATGTAGCAGATCATAGGTCCTGAACCCAGCTCTTCCTGCAGATTATGACAATGCTTTCTAGGTCCAAGGAGACTTGGACTTAATCCTGAACCACCAGGGTCTGACCTGTGTTTGCACAGCTCAGTATAAGACTCATGGTGATTATTGACACTCGTTTAATATTTTATTTTTAAAAAGATATTTCCTCTGAATTATCAGAATGTTCAGACCAACTTCCTCACACTGATTCAACATCTTCCGTGTGCTCACACCAGACGTTCTCATGCAGAGTCAACATGAACAAACAGATACTGTATGGAGCAAGATCAGAAGAGCAGCAACACCAAGGTTTTCACCTCACTCAGGACATGGTGACCTAGAAACAAAACCTCTGACCAGGTGGAGCAGACTCTCATCTCAACAGGGAACTGCTCAAGGTCATGTTGAAGGTCACAGATTAAAGAACACAGCCACATGATCTGCAAGTGGCAAACATGAGAACCTGAGGTTCCTAAACCAATCCCCTCGTCTCATTGAGGTCATCTCGAGATCCAGACCATAAACATCCTAAACCAAATCAGAGCAGGCGTCCAACCTGCACTGGGAACGAGCTGGTACTCATTAAAGAATTTCTCTTAAAGGCCATCTTTCATGTTCTTTAAAATGGCAAAAACAAAAGCATAATCTAATGTAAAAAAGCTACTGTGGTTATACTCCCAGGTTTCCATACAACTAGCCTAGCAGGTGTTTAAAAATACTAAATAAAGGAATGAGAGCAAGCACCCCCCCAAAAAACGCGCAGTTTTAGAGTCACGTGACGTGCCTACAGGTAAACGCAAAGGCAAACGAGAGGACAACAACAAATCGGTCATTTTTAGTTGCTGAGGTAAAACCAAGTAAACTAGTTCAAATATGGTTAACGTTTGTGCATATGGGGGTTGTACAAACTCCAGTTTGTCTGGACATCGTGTTTTCCAATTCCCAAAGCAGAAAAACCCAGCTTTCCGTGCTTGGGTGAGATTTGTTGGGGTAAAAAGGCAGGATTTTACCAGCAGTAGTCTCGAACAACTCCGTGATTTGTGGTGTGCATTTCTGCGAGGAAGATTATATCGAGGGAGACTTGATTGAACACAGGATGGGGTTCAGAAAAATGGACAAAATCAGACTGAAATCCACTGCAGTACCATCGATACATGGAAAAGGCAACAAGGGAGAAGGGCCGGGAGCAGCCGCGCCCGGAACGACAACAACTATGGCGGCTCCTTCCAGCAGCAGGAGACTCAGGAGCTACACACAGGTCAGCGACTCACAAGCTGGAAGTAGCCAGAGTACAGTAAGTGTTGTTTAATTTCTAAAAACCGTTCATGACAAAAACATTCTATGATAGAAATGTGTTTATACAAATAATGTCTATATTTAGCCCTGTTAGGCTGTAATTGCGCAGCTAAGTGAGATAAACTGCCCCACTTCATCCTTGCGTAACAAATACATTTTCTCTATAATCACGGTGAGCAGAAAATTAACTGACACGGTGATTCTGGTTAAAATAATAATTTGAGCTCCACGAACAACCCTTGCTTGCCTCCGGTTTCAACCAGCTGCTTCACCAGTTCATAACGTGATTTTGTACAGCTGTATTCACTTGAAGGACTCGCGCTAATGTTTGTGTACATTTTTTGTCTTTTAGAAAACACTCAAATATTTCCTACTTTAGTGTAGTTTCCAGGTGTTATTTTGAGATTCATGCCAGGCTATTTATCAGGGCTTACATCCCCATGCAAGGCCAGATTAACCATATGGGCAACTGGGCAATTGCCCAGGGGCCCACGAACTCTAAAGGGCCCAGGCCCAGGGCAGCAAGGACTCGAGTAAAATACTGTATCTGTAATCTCCCGCTTTATATTAAACTAGGGTGACCGTACGTCCTCTTTTCCCTGGACATGTCCACTTTTCACTCTCTGTCCGGGCGTCCGGGGGGGGTTCTTGTATTGATGAAAATGTCGGGTTTTTCATCCAGGAGCAGGGATCGAATTATGGGGGAGCTGTATATCCTACACATCCAAGGGAGCCGAAAAAAGTTTTCTACCCATATTACATCATTCATGGACTCTTTTGAGCAGAGAGCGACAGAGGAATGATCGTTGGTGTGCAGCGCTCCAGGCAGCTGCGTCCAGCGCACGGTCCATTCTCAAAGTGGCGCAACCAAAAAACTATAATTAACACACGATCGTTCATGTCCGCACATGTTCTCTACTTTCTGTCTTATTTGTGCCTGAAGCGCTCTGCTACTGCAGAGCTCATCACCTGTGCTGCGGTGATTTCACCTCACTGACGCAGCATCTAAACGCGCTCTCCGCTTTGCGGTCAGGAGATCCCTTTGATCTGCTCAAAAGTAACTGATGAGGTGAAAAAGTAAGAATCCAGACAGCAGTTTTTCTGGAGAGTTTAGAGGAGATGCAGGAAGATGAGAGACAAACAGGACAGGAAAATAGTTAAATAAAAACAAGAAAACAAAACAAAGTGTTGAAAAGTAAAATGTACATATATTTGTGTCCACTACACGTTTTTACCTGTATAAAACAATACGTTATATACATGTAATATTTATACATTTGATACAATTCAGATCACCTTCAAAACTCAGTCACACACCCAGAGCCGTTTCAAGGCATTTTGGGGGCCAAGGCAAAATACAAGAGCAGGAATGACATAATTTAATGATTGTTTCAAGTCAGTGGACTACAAGCAGCAAATACTAACATTTTCCTGTTGGATTATGTACAAAGTAATAGTTTCTGAGCCACACTAATCCAGACTAGGCCACTGAAGCCTTTGTAGTGTCCAGCTTCATCTGGGAAGGCTGCTCTGATGGCGTTCACCACACAAGATGGCAGAGGTTTGCGGATGTGTCGCCCAGTGATGCCATGTGTCCATCGGATCATCTGTCTATAGGCAACATGACGATACTGTCTGCAAAATGAAGTGGAATTGTCAGCAATGTTAAAGATTTGTCTTTTGTTGTTAGCAGGAAATTTTTAATGACTATTTTCAGCAGCATTTTGTCAAATATAGATGATGACAGTGATGCACTGTTGCTAAACTTTATACTTATGACATTAGTGGATCAATATGCTCTTACTCATTGAACTGCAGATGTAGGGGTCCATGTTGCCCCTTAAATGTTTGATAAGCTAGCATCAACACAAAAGGATTCAAGTAGCAGCCCTCAAATCCAGCATGGCCCGTTACACAGAGGAGATGTGGTACTGGTGGGTCCAGAATCAACAAGAGCTCCCTGAATGGTTCCAGTTCCTGATAACAAATGCTGTGAATAATGCTGTCCATTGGCCCACACCGGCCACACCAACACCTAATATGCAGTAAAAAAAAATAAAAATAAAAATAAATAAGCAAATGAAATAAGAGAATGATCATGACTGAATCTTATAAGATGTCATGACAGAAAACTTTATCCCAAAGAGCATTACATTATGGCCAATTACTGTCATTCATACAACAGAATAAGTTACTTATTGTTAAAATGTCAAATTAATTAAGTAAATCTACAATAGGTCACAGTTTTACGGTGGACTTTTTGGGACATGAGATCTGCAACGTTTCATTTGTACAAACAAAATCCCAAACTATATGAAAAGGTTTGAGGGGGGATTATGAATAATCTCATCAGCCTAGAATCTTTTTTGCTGAATCACAAGGATATTTTCGCATGGAAGGCTTACCAGGCTAGGCTAATGTAATAACAGCTAATTTAACAAAGGGGTGCTAGGGCTATGAAGAACCTTGACCCAAACTTTGTATAAATTAACCATTTTTAATTTGAATTTATTATTTATTTAAGTTATGTGGCTAGGTATTTGATGTAATCTGTCAGGACATTTTCTGTCGAAATATCTTTAAAAATAAAACATGCTCTTACCAGTTAGCATTTCCAAGTCTGTGTGCATTTTGAAGATCCCACATTTCTATAGCTCTTCTTTCACCATTTAAATGACCTGTTTTGCCTGTTGTCATCCCCTCTTGCTGCTGGCTCAAAACTGTATGGCTGTGCACCTTCAGTATTATAAATAACTGTAAATTCATGTTCAAATTCTGACGCCTCGTTCTGCTGCTGTGAATCCATTGCTTAGTAGAGTCGGAAACGTTTTCCTCCGTGTGCATCACTTCCGGTTTCCAGCTAGAGGCGCCGCTTTAAACCGGATTAGCTAGGTAAGCAGAGTTGGATCATTAATAACTCATTTTATTTTCAAATATCTTCCTTTTATTCAATGAAAATAAAAAGTTTAGGCATATTACGATATAAGCACTTCAACGTGTGTTTAAAATGAAAGATGGCCTTTAAGACATAAGCCTTCTCCACGACTACAGGACCAGAGAGCCACAACCCCATGGCCACCTGGTTTGCTGTTCCAGGACCTGGACTAGAGCCACAACTCTCCTCCTAGATCTGCCAGTTTGTGTTGACTCCAGTGTTTCCCAGAGACTCTGTGGTCTCCATGTCCACACAGTAAAGATCTAAGATTCTCCTTTCTGGAGGTGACGGGTGATCGTTACACCTGTTGGAGCCTTTTTCAACAACCAAAGACAACGAGTCAAGGTAGAGCTAAGACTTTCCCTGACAATAGGTCTCCAATTGGCTTTTAAACCCAATTTTATCGTTTCCATTCAAGACAGTATTCAAAAAGGTTAAGCGATAGGAATTAGTTTTACTTAACTGTCAAAGCTGTTTCCAGAGCAGATTCATCACTTTTTATGTACATGAGTTCATCTTATAATCCTCACATTAGTTTAGACAAGCATTGGGTCAATTATACATT